AGATTTTTTTTTTTTTGCTTCTTTTCTACACCAATCCTATATTACTGAATGGAATGTTGCCAATCAATGAACTTTTTACACACACACACATTTTTTTTCTTGGCTTCCATCATCATCATCATCATCATTACGGCATATCCCGGACAACGTTTCACCGGTGTGTGACGCCAATTGTCGGTTGATTGTTTGTTGCAATACAACAACCAAGCAAGCAAGCAAGTAAGCAACAAATCGGTTATCGAACTTTTTCATTTTATCCTCTCATCAAATATCCTGTTCATCATATAATTGTCTATGTGACTATATTTCGATACAATACTATCTATGGATTATTAACTCATTCTATTATATATTTCGAATTAAGATTTTTTTTGATGATTTTGTCTTCATTTTTCTACCTTAATCTCTGATCATCTATTACAAATTTTGTTTTATGAAAATTTTCATTCATAATTCGTGAAAAAAAATCGATGACATAGATTTTGTTGTTGTTGTTGTTGTTGTTGTTTTTTTTTCTCATTTAAATTTGATCATCATACAAAAATCGGTTATCGAACTTTTTCATTTTATCCTCTCATCAAATATCCTGTTCATCATATAATTGTCTATGTGACTATATTTCGATACAATACTATCTATGGATTATTAACTCATTCTATTATATATTTCGAATTAAGATTTTTTTTGATGATTTTGTCTTCATTTTTCTACCTTAATCTCTGAATGATCATCTATTACAAATTTTTGTTTTATGAAAATTTTCATTCATAATTCGTGAAAAAAAAATCGATGACATAGATTTTGTTGTTGTTGCCGTTGTTGTTGTTTTTTTCTCATTTAAATTTGATCATCATACAAATGACAGCATTTGATTGCTCATGACATTAAACGACAACGACATCAAATTGCAATTTACAATTGCAATTTTTGTATTTTTATTTCTATATAAATTCATTCATACAAAATCAAAAACAAAAAAATCCTTCTCTCATCATCGATGATCATCATAGTAAAAACGAGGAGGATGATGATCATGATGACAGTGTGTGTGTACAGGTTAAAATAGTACATGACAAACTTCCGGCTTGTTTGTCATTTTTCTGTGCAACAACAACAACAACAACAAAAATGAAATAATTTTGTTTCTTTTTTTAAAAAAGTTTATATTTAATTTCGTAGTAATTTTTTTTTCTTTTTTTTCTGTATGTAATAATGTGTTTTTTCTTAATGAATTATCGTAGATTCATTTCATTTCATTCATTCATTGAATTTATTTTTCAAAAATAAAAAAGTTAAGCTTTAAGCAATATGATGTGCTATTTTTATGAATCAAGCCATCATCATCATCATCACCATCATCACCATCATCATCATGATCAGGATCAACAGACAACCGATTTTAACCAGCCAAGCAAGTCATTCAGTTAGTGATAACATACACACACACACAGCATTTTTTTTCTCTCTCTTTTTTTTTGTTTATTCTTTCAATTTTCATGACATTATGATTATCCCCTTCGTTTTTTCAAAAAAAAAATTTTTTTTTTGATCATTGTGGTGATGGATGATGGACATCATATTAAAGAATGTAAAAACAACAGAAAAAAATGGCAAAAAATGCCAAACATTCCTTTAATAACACAGACACATACATACACAGAAAAAAAACATGATGATTGACCACATATTCAGGTAAATTTTTTTTTTTTTTTTTTGATTTTTTCTCTTTAATAAAAAAAACTTGCTACTCTTTTTCATCATCATCATCATCATCATTGCTGAAAGATGACTATTCTGGTTGGTGAGAATTTTATGTAGCTCACACACACACACACACAGTGATATTCATCAGGTTTTCAGGTTTCTCTATAATTTCTTCTCTCTCTCTCTCTCTTGTTGTTTCAGGTGCATTCACAAATGTGTGGACGTCGTCGTCGTCGTTACATGACAACTCGTTATGACGCCCGTAATATACCGCAGCAAGTCACACACACACACACACTTTTTTTACCTTTAATTTATGTGTGAGAGAGAGAGAGAGAGAAAAAAGATAACTATGCTGCTGTCCACACTAAATAGCTATAGTGTAGACCTCTTACTAGTTCTTTTTTTTTCTCATTATTTGATTTTTGACAAACAAACCAAACCAAATCAAAAAAAAAAAAAAAAAAAAATCCGGTTGAAAATCGAAAAAAGAGAAAAAAAAATTTTTTTAGTAGAGACTTGCATTTAAAGAGTTTAGTCTGTATATACTATGTCTGTGTGTGTGACGATGAATAAAACGTTTAGTTTTTTTTTCATGAATTGAATCTCATATAAAGTGTTTGGCGTCAAAGTTTTTGAAATCAACAACAACGATGGATAATGACGCCAGCAAAGATTTTTATATTTGCTACTACACATACACACACACACACACACACACAATCCCGTTCGTTGTGTTCGTTGTGTTTGTTTGTTTGTTTGTCTGTTTCTCATAGTGAATTTTCAATTTGGCAAGACAAGATATAATATAGTTTGGATTGATTTGGTGTATGTGAATTCACACATACTACAAATATATTCTGTTTTCATTTGTGTTTGTGTAATGTGTGGTTATGATATATATTTTTCTAAATATTAAGAATCGATCATCATTATCACATCGAGATAGATGACCATCATAATCATTGTTCATCATTATGATATTTATGTGTGTGTGTGTGTGTGGTTAATTCTAAAATTCTATTTCATTGTGAATAAAATCGTTTATTAATATCCGGTTATAAATAATTCGGGAATTATTTTTTTTTTTACTTCATATCACAAACTTCCTTCTCTTCAATGCTAATGCTTCATTCATCATCGTTCAGAATGGACATGAAAAAAAAATTGGGTCTGTTGACAAGCTTTTCAAACAAACAAACAAAAAACAGCACATCAACCCACAATCAGCAACAGTAAGATATTTTATTGAATAAAAAAAAAGTGGCCGGCGTTTATTGTATGCCAAAAAAAAATGGTGAGAGGCACCCAGAAAAAAAAATTTATTATTATTATCACCGTTTGAATTGATGATGATGAGTATGCTTGTTTCAATGAATCTCAATCCATCCATCCATCCAAAAAAAAAAAAAAAAATTACAATAGATAACAAACAAACACACACACACACACACACAGTGAAAAGAGGAAAGAGATTCATTCGAGTCAATATAGTCGGCCTTTATACCGATTAAATGCATACCAAACGGAAAAGTCTGGTATTATTTATTATTCATTTTAAGTTAGAAAAAAAACTTGTTGCGCTTCTCACATCAAACGACGAACCATCATCATTATTATCATGATCATCGTCGCCCCTTGTGTGTGTGTGTGTGTGTGTGTGTGTGACACCATACACATACATACCAATTTTTTTTTTTTTTGTTCGGTTTGTTTGCTCCCTTCTTCCTTGATTGTGCTATAGCAAATAACAACACGAACATAGATATACAGACAGGCTGACGACCTGTGTGTGTGTGTGTGTGTGTGTGTGTACACTCCCAGATTCTGTTGTTGTTTTTTTTCATATTTTAATTTACCAGAAAAAAAAATCTCAAAATTGAATGAATTTCTGTTTTTTGTCAATGTTCATTCTGATTGGTCAGCATTAAATGGACAAATTAATTTTGATTTTTTTTAAACTTATTTTTCACACACACACAATTTGTGACGTCATCTTAATCATCATCATTTGGTTAATATATTCGCAACAATTTATAAAAATTGCATTTTTCAAAAAAAAAAAAAAAATTAAAAAATTAAAATCCATCAAAGATTCTTTTGAACATGCGCATATCACATGTGTAAATCTGTTGCTTGTGTGTATATATATATATATATATCTGGCGTAAATATATCCAAAAAAAAAAAATGAAAAAAAAACGCCAAACGAAAAAGAAGAGGAAAAGCAGTAGCAAAAGCTACAAGTGGTGTGATGGATTTTTTTTTTTTTTTTTTTGAGGGAAGGAGGAGTATGAATAGGATAAAGGGCACGGAAGCGCCTGAATACATATCAGTATATGTCTGTCTGTCTGTCTGTACATCCATCCATCCATACATCTCTATGGTATGGGCAAGTGAAAAAAAAAATATCCATTCCATTCGATTTCTATGTTTGTGTTGATTTTTTTTTTAATATTAAGAGAAGAATATATTGCGCATACATTGAATCGTCGAATATGTTTGTGTGTTTTGTGTAAATGTAAAATGTTTTTTGTCCATTTAATTGATCGTCAGAAAAAAAAAAATACTGTGTGAAGAAATGTTGTTTTTTTTATAACTCATGATGGAATTACAATTCATCATCATCATAATGATGATTTGTGATGAGTGAATACAAAATAACAACAATGAAAAAAAAATAAAAACAACTACGCCATGTGATGTGATGAATTTAAATATTTTTTATATATTATTAGGTAAGTAGAATTAGTTTTATGAATGTTGAATTATAGTGGACAACAACAACAACAACAAAACAATGGTTGTTGGTATTTATGGTTTTTTTTTTTTACCAATTTTCATTTATTATATGACTACCTCTTTTTTTTCTTTATTTCTTTTTTAAAAAAAATCACCATTCCTGGTTGTTTCGTTTGCTTTTTCCATGATGATGATGATGATGATGGTAGCCGTCGCGCCGTCAATCGATCGGATTCCCACCCCAATTTTTTTTTTTTTCTAAGGATTGATCGATTTGAATTGGTAAGTATACCTGATTTTTTTTTTGTTTTGTTTCTACCTGACAACAACGACAACTACCTGTGTATATTATAATACAACATACACATACAGTGTCTGTAGCATCATCATTATCATTGTTTGAAGGTAAGGAAATATAAAATGAATAGAAATGTGATGATTGTCATATACCTTGTTCAATTTTTTTTCTTTTTTTTCTATTTAATCGATCATTCATCGGACATAACAAAATAAGGATAGAAATTATACAACCAAAATATAGTTATTTTGCTTACAATTTTTTTTCTTCATTTGATTATTACATGGACATCATCTTAAGTTTTTTAGCCAATCGTTGTTTCGGAGTGGCCAGACCTTTTTTATATTTTTTATTCATAGTATTTACAGCCATTGATGACGATGATTTCTCTGGTGGTTGTTGTTGTTGTTGCGTATGATGATGATGAATATCTCCTCCTGTTTCAACGGTGCTTAACTTTGTTGTTGTTGATGATGATGATGATGATGATTGGCCATGTTTTTCAATTTTTGCCTGTTGCTTATTGATAATATCAGCAGCATTACTACTGCCAATCATAGTTGTCGTCGTCGTCGTCGTCGTAGTCATTTTGGATTGCTGCGACGAATTTTTCGAATATTTCTTACCACTGCTGTTACCGTTACTATTCATTGCCGTTGATGATGTTGTTGTTGATGTAGATGAGGTTCCTGGTTTCCAGATTTTATCATTATCAATATTTTGTTGATGATCTTCAGGTGAATCTAGATCCATATAGATATAATCATCATCTTCACGTTTAGTACTTTCAATTATTTTCACCAATTCATCATCATGTTGACGTTTTTTCTTTTTTTTAGATTTTGAAAATAATAATAATTCGTTGCTGACATTTTGATCACTATTCAAATCATATGGATCATCCATCGATCCTGGTTGGTGAAAAATTGGAAAATTTGGTTAATCAACAACAACAACAGATATAATAACTTACTCCTGATAACATCCTGGGCAAGTTTCATATTAACTTTAATTTTTAAATTTGAATTTGATGATGATTCTGTATCGACTAAATCTTTGATTTTTGTTTCCTCAGGATTTAATGTGAATGGTTGTGATGATGATGATTGTTGTTGTTGTTGATGATCGATTGTATCTTTTGATTTAAGTTTTATTTGATCTTTATTTTTGTTTTGATTAATTTTCTTCTTTTTCCTTAGGCATCGATTCAGGTCACGTATAATTTTCGAACAATTTACAGCTTTAGGTATTAATTGTTGTTGTTGTTGCTGCTGCTGTTCATTATTTGATCGTTTTGATTTCGATCTTTGTAGCCAGAATCGAAGTTTTTCAATCAATGCTGCTATACCCATCGATAGATGTTTAGGTGGTTGATTTTTAAGATTTTCTTTCGCCAATTTTAATATATTTGGTGCAGCATACCAATTGGTCAATTCATAAGCAGGAAAATCTAGACCAGGTTTCTGTAATGATTTAAGAAAATCATTTATCGATAATTGTGTGGCAATATTTAGACTGTGTAGGAAATAACCACCGAATGCAATGGTATCATCTTGTGTGAGAATCGAATAAATCCAACCATTAGGTATGAATATTGTTTGGCCTTGTGTTAATTTTATTTTGAATACATTAGCTACATTTCTATAGAACATTATTTCATGTAGATTTTCTGATTTGATCCATTTTTCAAAATGTGCTAGATTCTCATTATTTGGTTCAATCAAATAGAATGTTTGTTCGCCTTCGATTATATGATACCATGCAGATGCACCACCAACATCGATATGAAAATCATTGTATGCATTACGCATTGATAAGAAACAATATTTCGATAGTAATGGTTTAAAAGGCACATCTGGCCAATACATATCGACCCAGCTAAGTCTTTGAACAATCCGTGGTTGTACAAATTGTTCGCCTTTAATATTTTTAGACATATTCACACGAACAGCATATACATCTTGTCGTTCATCTTGGCCAAGTTTAAATTGAGCCAATAGATAGGCTAGTTTAGTTTTCACTTTAATCTGACGAGTAACTTCGATTGCATCGACTATTAAATCTTCGGAATAGTATTGACAAGCTGTTATTAGATTGAATTCTGAATCCATAGACATTTCTAGACCATTTTTTGTTTCGACTACAATTGGTCGATCAAAGCCACTTAGTATTAATTCTTTCAATGTTAATTGTTGTCCACGCATACGTTTCACATCGACCATTGATCTTGCATCCGGTATCGATGTTGATCGTTTTAAGTAGTTGATAAAATCAGGTGTACCCGTTTGTATGGGTAATTGATCGGCATTTTCAGCATTTCGATTATGACGATGATGATTTGTGATTGTTTTTAATATGGATGGTCCTGTATATGGGCGACATATTTGACAATAAAATACTGATGTTTCTTGTGCTTGATGGACTAGTAGATTAGCACATTCTAGATGAATAAAACGTTGACAATTGTTGCATGTAATTGATGATGATGATGAACCGAAAACGACGCCATCTTTATTATTATTATTTGAGCTCATTCCCTGTCCACAGATGCATAAGGCCATTTTATATTGCTGATGATTATTGTTTTTCGTAATCGTAATAATGTATCTTTTGGTCACCAATTATGCACATTATTAAGATGAATTTACAATTTATCACATTAATCATCAACACTTACCAACTTAATGTTGTTGATGATGATGATGATGATGGCTATATCAAAATTGTTTTCATCATTTTAATCGACACATTTTTTTCATAATTTTTTTTTTATTTCAGTCAATCGAATTTGAAATAGCAGTGGTAGCAAAAAAAACTACACACTGGGCAGAGACAAACACACACACACACACACAACAGGCGAGTAAATGTTATTTGTTTTGTATTTATTTGTGCTCAATTGTGCATTGTTCATAAATGACGTTACCATGTTTAACTTTTTTTTTTTTTTTGTTGTGTTTGGCCGGGCCAATTGTGGTTGGTCGACTGACTGGCAGCACAAAAAAAAGGCAGTAGCATAACGTCACAGTATTTCTTGTTGAGCTTGGTATATTATTTTTTTTTTTTTTGGCGTGGCGTGGTTAGAAGGAAAAGAAAAAAAACGTGTCCTTTATCCCCGAATCAAACTAATAAAAAAATTATAAGTTTAAAAAGACACATTGTTCCGATTTTGTTGTTTTCATGTAATTTGAATTTGACTAATTTCTTTTTTTTCTGTTTCAGATACGAAAATTCTATCAAGATACGAAAAAGTGGATACGAATCAATTGTGGAAGGAATAATTCTGAGCTACAAATGGGGTTTTCACAATGATTTTACACAACCAATTACCAGGTTGTTGGAGAACAAAAACAAACCTTAAAATCATTCCATTCTGTGTATCAAATTCTTTTGTAATTCTTTTGGAACAACAAGAATTAGATACACTGTGGAAGGTTTGAAAGATTTGCTACCTAAATGTGAGATCATTGTGAAAGCTGTTTTTGTATTGCTCAATTTAATTCAACGCCCATCATCATGAATTGAATTTTGATTTTGGTCGACCAGATTTATCTAATTTTTCCATTCTTTATTTTAATTTCTTTATTTTATTCTTTTAGTATGGTAGAACACACACACACACACAATTTTTTTGTCAATTTACCAAATGTGATTTTATCGATTTTTAAAATAAAATAATTGAATCTTTTTGTTTTTCTGTTGTTTAATCATCATTGAATGTAATTGTCTACAAAAAAAAAAAAATAAAGATTCATTGACCAAATTTTATTTGTGACCATGTGATGTGTTTGTGTTTTGTTTTTCTTAAGAAAGAATTTTTTCCTTGGAAATTTAAAAGGCCATGCCATTTGTTGAATGCACAGACACACACACACACACACGCAAAAAGCATATCCGTATCACAACGCATGAATGTAATCTTTTAATTCCTGGCCACAAGATGGCACAACAATTGTATTGTTTTTTTATTCAAATTCAAATCGAATGTTGTTGTTTCAGTGAATCTCACATAAATTAAGTTTCGACCTTTAGTCAGAGGCCAATGTGTGTGTGTGTGTATCAATAATCAAAACATAAAGACAAGATACAAGACAAGATACATTGATGGATGGATGTATTGCATTGGTGTAAAAAACCGTTTGTGTTTCCGAATGATTTTTTTTTTTTGGTCGTTGATATTGATCAAAAATGAATTTTTTTTTTGGATTTCATTGCAAAAACGAAACAAAAATTTATCACAAACACACTCAGTTATCTAATGCTAACAACAACGGAAAACAACCAATCAACCAACCAACCAATATCAAGATATCATCATCATCATCATCATCATCATCATCGTCGTCATTTAAGTTGATCGATTCGATCATCACCAGGAGATTTTTTTTTGTTGCATTTTTTTCAATTTAACATTTTTTTTTCTTCTTCAAAGTCGTGGGAAAGTTTGGTGGATATGGTAAATTTTTTTTGTTTTATGCCATACATAGCATCAATCAATCGATCGATCGACTGATTGATTGGTTGATTGATTGATTGATTGATTGATATCATCGTTTTGCTTATATATTTTTTCTTTTTACCGACAACAGAAAAAAAATACAAACCAAAGATAAGTGGACAAAACATGTAAGCAAGTTACAAGTCTTGAATGTTTTTCCAAAAAAAAAAAATGACGACGATGATGATGACTGCCTATTGATTTTGGGTTTGTGAACCAAAAAAAAAAAATCATGACCAGAAAAAAATGTGAATTTCATCTCATTATCACAAAACTATAACATGATGATGATGATGATTGGGTGCCATCCATCCAATGATAACGACGACTATGACGTTTATTTTGTGTTTTTTTTTCTATGAGAAATTGTTGATTATTAAACTCAGCATAAATTCCTAGACAACCGCCACCACCACCACCACCAAAACAACAACAACAACAACAAAAATGTAATTTTCAAAATATAAATTGAATTTTATAAAAAAAAATCCGGTTATCCCCATTGAGAATGTCATCCAATAGAATATTATGTGGGCATTGTTTTTGTTTTGTTTTGGTTTGGTCGGGTTAGAGCAAAACAAAACAAAAAACGATCATCAAAGTATAATGTCCTGTTGTTGTTGTTGTTGTGTTTGTGTTTGTATTGATGATTTATGGATGTTTTTTTTTCTACTTTCTTGCTGTTTTTTTTTCATTGAAATTGTTTTGGATTTAAATTAAATTAGAATTCTGTTTTTTCTTCGTCATTTACTATTTCTAGCCACTGTAATCATTTTATTCACAAATACATTGAATGAGTGATTTCTTGGGAACCAAATAAACAAAAAAACTAAAAAAAAAACGGCAGCTACCACTTGCTGGTTGGATTGATGATCAAATTATTATTATTTTTTTTCTACATTTATTTTTTTTTTTTCACTATTGAAATCCAAATCAATTTATCATTGCTGAGATGATGTGTGTGTGTGATGTGAATGAGATAGATAGATATAGATAGTCTGGCCAAAAGTTTGAGAAAAGTAGAAAAAAAAATCTATCATCAATTTTTTTAAATAAAATAGATAGATATCATATCTAATCTTAAATCCGGTATTGTTATATGTCCGAATGGTCCGAAAATATACACAATATGCAACATGATTGATAATACAATCGCACACACATGCAGATATGATAATGTAATAGCCTGGACAATACATACAAATTGATGATATCCGTAATGATAATTTTTTGTTCGGATTTTTTTTTCTTCTGATTCATCATATATATGATGATTATTATTCGGACAAACTTGTGATAAAATCCAATTGGAATTTATTTTTTTTTTTCACTTTGTAGTTGTCTTTTTTTTGTTCATTGCTCTGTTATCATTTAAATTTGATCAGTGTCATAATATGTCAGTTGATATTAGTGAGTTTGAATTATACCCATTTTATTCGTTTAGCAATCACATTCAATACTTACACACACACACACTAGTTGGCCTTGTTGGCTTGTTCACACACACACACACACACAGACACACAATTACAGAAAAGCATCTAGCATCTATTTAGATAAATGTGTGTGTGTTTCGTGTAAAAAGTGACGGCCAGATCATGTTATTTGTAACAACAACAACAACAACAACAACATGATAAGATCTCAAAATACGAATTTCATATCTAAAATAGACATTTTTTTTCCTTTGATTATTATTATGGACGAACGAACAACAACAACATTTTGTATGTCGGCAAATGTGATGATAAATTTTCACAGCAAAAAAAAAAAAATAAAACAGTAATCATTACAATGCCAAAACAGACAAGACTTTTTTTCTCTCAATCATCAATCTATCCATCAGAATAATAATAAAAAAAATGTTTGATAACTGATCATCAACATTTCAATATATTTGATGTTGTTAAAATCATCTGTTGTTATGAATGAATAAATGTGAAAAAAAAGGAAGGAAGAAAAGCACAAAAAAAGGTGTGTGTGTGTGCGTGCGAATGTTGTCGTGATGTCACGAATTTATTATATGGCTATTTAGAAATGTGAATTTGAATTCTACAACAACAACAACAACAACGAGAACTAGTTGAAAAATAAAAATTGTTGTGACCAAAGGCGTGAATTAAAATGAATGATTTAAACTGTTACTTTCAATTTATCAATTGTTGTTCAATGACCTTTTTTTTGTTTGCAAGTTCGGCCCATTGTTTGTTTGTTGGGCTAGTCATTTTTTTTCTTGGGTCCGATGATTTTTTTTTCACTTTGAAGAAACCTTGTCATTTTGGTTAGGTGATTCTTTTTTTTCCATATCATAATATCGATATGCATCAATGATAGTGTCAATAGTGTGTGTGTGTGTGTGTTTTTTATTCAAAAATCAAAAATCGCTTAACCATGAAAAAAAATGAAAACAAAAAAATTCAAAATCGATACAGTAGTTGGTAATTTGATTGATAATTTGATAATTGGTAAATGATAGGTTTTTGTCACCTTTTTTTCGCTAAAGTGTGTGTGTGTGTGTGTGTGTGTGGCCATCACTAATATTGGTTTTTGGGTTTTTTTTTCGTACGAAACTTATTATTATCCACTCGTTTTATCTGATTTATTTTCTGTTTGTTTTTCTCAAGATCTCGGTGTATGTGTGTGTGTGTGAGTAGTTGAGCATTTCCGAAATTGATCACCATTTCATTTTTTTTTCTTCACTGGATAAGGACATTACTCTCTAAATATAGATTGCTTCCTCATCATCAAAATTTTTAAAGTTTTCATTTCAGAATTTGGATTTTTTTTCGGTTTCAAAACAAAGCATATTCATACACACACACGGTATATATATCGATTTCATAATTTGACCGCAGAAATTTCTTTATAACCAAAAACATCTACCATCTACATCGTTAAGCGTCATTATAATATATCCAGCCCTCGAATTTTATCTTCCATGGATTCATGGTTCAATGAGAATCATCATAGAATGAATGCCGCTTTGAATTGAATTGAAGTGAATTTTGAAGATGGTGTTTTGTTGACTATCATGGTCGGTTCGATGGTCTTTTTGGTCGGTCGGTCGGTCTTTGGTCTACAACATTCATCAACAAACAACCGAACCAAACCAAGATGGAAAAAAAAGACCAAAGACCGAAACCAGATTTTTATTTTTATTTACTTGACTTGACTTTGATTTTGCTTCGACTCATTGCGAATTTAAACTCGCGCGCCAATTGTTTGAAAATCAAATGAAAGAAAAAAAAATATTAAAATTTTGTTAAATTTCCATACAAAATTTGGCCACTTTAATGCACAACAGAGAAAGATTGAGTGGAAATCATTATCCAAATCTTTTTTTTTTTTTTTGATATTGCTTGTTTTTCATCATGACATACACATGTGCGGCTTTATTCAAAAAGCGTCCATATTTTCCGCCACTTTAGTCGAACCAAAAAAAAACAACACAACACATTTCAAAAAGCTTGTCTTATTGTTCAAATTTTCGGGGCCCATATTACATAGTTGATCATCATCATCATCAACAATTGTTTCATGGATGTGTTATATATCATATCATGCATATAGATCAAATAAAGGAAAAAAATGCCGTCTTTTTTTTAAAAAAAATATCAGTAAATTATGTCATAATGTATTCATCCATGTTGTCATTGCATACGAACATTTTTTTTCTGAGCATCCGAATATTTCAAATTTGAAACAAAAATCATCAGTATTGAATAGCCATATTATATGATGATGACGACAACAGAAAAAAAAGTATCGATTATTATTAGTATTGATTTGCATATCATATCTGGTTTTTTTTTCTTGATTCTTCTATTTGTTTTTATTATATATAAATAAATATCATCAATGCTACTACTGATCAGTGAACGAAAAAAAAAAAATTTTTTTTTTGATTCATTCAATTGAAATAAATTTAGACACCATACACACACACACACACACACACACATAATAGATTTTCTTTGTTTCTATATGTGGAAAAAAATACTAATATTTAGAGTTTTAGTTTGTTTGTTTGTTCAATGTTGTTGTTGTTGTTGTTGTTTTGATTTCGCTGTCAACACAAATCCAAACATACACAAACAAACACACACCCACATTCAAAAAAAAAAAGAAAATGTTCTGGTAAATTGGATTTTTCATACCAGAACATGTTTATTTCCGATTTTTCAAGCAATGATGATGATGATGATGATGATTATTTTTTGTTTTGATTTTGGATTCAAATGTTTCGTGCAGTCAATTATTATTGTTGAATAATAATAATGTCACCGTTAATATTTTATATTTCTATATATTATTATAGTTTCAAAATTGATTCTGGTTGTAGTTAGTTGAATTTAAAAACTTGGATGCCTTGCATAAATGACCAAGAATTGGCTTTTGTACATTTGCATTTAGATGAACATACACAACACACGTAAAATCTAGTGTATTGAAAATGTGTCTGTTTTCTCTTCATAATATTCCAATGAATAAGAAGAAGAAGAAGAAGAAGAATCATCATCATCAGCAGCAGCAGCAACAGTTTGAATAATGCAAAATCATTGTTCTTGTTCATTCATTCATTTAACTGTGAAACTTAAAGGAAGCGAACAAAAAAAAAGAAATTCTCAATCTGAAACATTCAAAAATTTTTTTTTTCTTACAGTATAGAATAATGACAGAATTTATTTTGTTTCTTTAGAAAATTTTTCTTATTTGATCAATTTTTTTTTTCTCTCATTCTCTTTGTTCGTTGATATGCTCTTTCGATGTCTATCTGGGTGATGATGATGATGTTGATATTAAAAGAATATGGAATGGTGACAATCTCATGATGATGACACTATATCATGATGATGATGATGATGATGATGATGATGATGATTAAGATCAGTTTTGTGGAAAAAAGGCGCCATGTTTTCAACTTATTCTTCTTGCATTTTTTTTTTTTTTTTACTCAAAAAATATTTGGCATCATAACCACAACAATTTCATGTGTGTGTGTGTGTGTTCACATATGAGCCAAAATTTATGAAATTTTTTTCCATTTCCATAACCAAAAAGAAAACAAAAAACCTGTGTAATGAGAATAAATTCATTGCTAGAAATTTTTTTTTTCATGATTGGGTTTTTATTCACTGATCGATTATATCTTAATCATCATCATCATCATCATCATCATCACTGAAAAAGAGGTGTTGAATAATAGCAACGATTATATATCATAGCTAATTGATTTCAAATGAAAATTAATCACTTAATTATTTTTATTTTTGCTTTTTGTTTTTTGTTCATTTATATAAAATTACCACTTTTTTTCCACAATACAAATATAAACTAAAAATGAATGAAAATTCATTTTTACATCCATTTATATGATGAATAGAAATGAATTTTCTTGTTCTCACTTCATCATCATCATCATCATCATCATTACAAAAATCGTTCAAAGAAATTGCCATTAAGAATAGGATGCCTTTGTGTGTGTGTGTAATGTGACATAAATGTGTGTGTATGTGTTTTTGTGTGTCCTCGAGTGTGATACAAACAAATAATTGGAATATAACAAAAGATTCATTCAAAAAGAATAATAAAGATTGGATTTTTTTTTAATAAAGAAAATTCTATGTTTTTTTTCTTTAATATTCCTTAAGATTAATTTCGATAATCGACAACAACAACGAAGCAACACTTATTTTGTTTTAATAGTATTAAAAATTAATATTAATGAATCACTTCAATCAACACTGATTAATTAGTGCCTGAATTATTATCACCACACACATAACCACCTTTCGATTGTTTAATGATTAATGATGACAAAACCATGAGCAAATGTTGAGAAAATCAATCAATCAATCGATTTGTAACATTATAAAAAAAATCAAACAAATTTCCTATAATGAAATCATTCGAAGAAGAAAAAAAAACATCATCAAACCCCATTTTATTCCATTTGACCGACTGGTTCCGTTGGTCATCCTCATTATTATCAATGTGAAAAAAAGATGTATACTATTCAATGTAATGGTGGAGGTGTGGCTTCAATGTTAAACCACTTGATGCTTGTTTTATATACTTCAATTGTATCTAATGTTATTTTTTTTTTCGGGGAGGATCTTGGCTACAACAAAATCATCAATCGATGCTTGACAAAGTTACGCCCATTGAATTTTTTTCCATCATCAGCTTGTTGCTTTCTATCCTGAAAGAGTGAGTTGTGTTCAATGTTTTTCAAACACACACACACACACACACATCTCTTATGCATAAACAAAATCCATTCAATATGGTTTTATTTGAACAAAAATCCTCGATTCATCTAACATCGATATCATTTTAATTCAAACAAACAAACAAAAAAAAACTAGTTTTTGATTTGATTGGCCATTATCATCATCCAAAGAATAATAAAAAGAAATATTTCTGTTTTTCAACCAAACAACCAAACATCTTTAAATCTGTCATATATTACAATTATCTCTTATTTAACGAACAACAACAACGAAGACGACGACGACGACGACGACGACGATCAAAAAAAAAAAAAAAAAAAAAAAAAAACTTTCATCAAACCAAATTGTCAATACAATAATCATCATCATATATTTTTGAATAAAATTTGTAAAGCTGAAAAAAAACGACAAACCTCTCAGAATGAATGAATGAACACAATGAATAAACATTCTTTGCAACACATACACACACACACACACACACAAACAATTGTGTTTAATTAATATTAATTTAGCTTTATACTAAATACCGGCAGTTTGTTATTTTACAAACAATCGAATAACATTCAATTTTTGTTTTCGGTAAACACGAAACATCATCATCTTATCAATTATCGAATCGATTTTAAAAACAATAAAGCTTTGTCTATATATGTCGTGTGTGTGTGTGTTTGTGTATTTGTTGCTGTTGTTTGTCACACCGTCAATCTTTGAGTTTGTTTGTTTATTTGTTTTTGACATCTTTTTCTCTCTCTCTCTTTCATCTGAATCGTGTCCTTTTGTTTTAGTTTTTTTTTCATCAAATACTAATAATACAATCACCGAATGTTTAAATAGCCGAAATGGATACAACAACAACAACAACTACAACAGCATTGTCAACAGCTGCTACGACCAATGATGATGATACATTAATAATACCGATATCAAAATATTCAATACCATTAGCAGTTGCTGCAAGTGGAATTGATTCAACATCATCCAAACAATTGAATGGTGTTAATCATATTAATGATGATACAAATCCTGAAATTTATGAAGCTGTATCAAAAGTGTTACAAAATTATAGCTGGTCATTAGTACCGAAAACAACAAAACCGGTTAGTTCGACAACAGTGAAACAATCACAACATGTAAAACGTCCAATGAATGCATTTATGGTATGGGCACAAGCTGCACGTCGTCAATTATCGGAACAGCATCCTCATCTACATAATGCTGAATTGAGTAAAACTTTAGGCAATCTATGGAGGTAAGGCGAACAGTTTCCGGTTAATATTTTAATACAATTTTTTTTTGCCATAGAAATTTGGATGAAAAAACTAAACAACCATTCAAACTGGAAGCCGAACGTTTACGATGTCAACATAAAAAAGATCATCCAGAATATAAATATCAGCCAAGAAGACGAAAATTATCAAATAAAGCTAATAATAACGATAACGCTGATAAACCTCAGCAACAACAACCGAATAGTAGAAGAATTAATCGTAATACAAAACGAAATATGCAACAACAATCACGTAACCAAAATGATGTTGTTGGTAGTGGTGTTGTTGATCATGATAATTGTTACAGTGATGATAGTAATGGATTAGCACAATGTAATGATCATCATCATCAAAATATGGATCATGATCCAATTAGTCCACAATCAATGGAATCTACATCGAAAGGATCATCTAATTATATGGCTAGTAATAGTCCACCGACACCGCCTACAACACCGCAATCTGCAAATCGATCTGGATTACATCGCAATAGTAATAATAGTAATAATAATAATGATAATCAACAACAACAGGCTGCATTTACATTGAAAAAATATGAATTCTCACCATATGCTCATCTTGTATCACCAATCGATAAGATTGAAGATGGTATCGATTGTATTAAAGATCATCAATCAGTTTCACCACCAACAACAACAGAATCAACAACATCGATCATTGGTTTACATAATTCGAATAGCTATGATAATCATCTACAACATTCGGTTGGTGGTGGTAATCACAATCCTCATCATCAAACACATCATCATTTGGTCAATGATCATCATCATCATAGTCCTGGTAGTAATTGGTCTCGATTGGTTGAATCATCACATGGACCAACGTCATTTTATCATCCGCATCATCATCATCCACATGTTGGAAGTGAAGCAACAAGTTTGATAAGTGGAAACGCTGATTCGAATACATCGAATACTTTATTAGGTCCAAGTAGCAATACGGCTGCCGTTGCTGCTGCCGCAGCAGCTACAATGATTGGACAATATGGTGGTGCTGCATCAACTACTACTCCATTCATCAATAATATGTCTGCATATCATCCCGGTTCACATGGTCATCAAAGCTGGTCAAGATTTGTCACCGATAATCATCATCATCCATATGGTCATCATCATCATTATGCAACCACAGCTGAAACAGCTGCTAATTATGCACCACCACCACCACCACCAGCGGCTCCAAGTTCATTTCATGAATATTATGTAGCCACAACAAAACGTAATAATATGACCAATTATAGTGCAAGCCAAATCGGTAATAGTTCGACAGGATTTATAACAACAACGTCAACAATGGCAACAACAACAACACCACCGGAAACGTTAAACGATCATCATCATCATCATCTAGCAGCAAGTTCATTATGGAATTCTAAAGCATCATCACCAACAACCGCTGCTGCTGCTGCTGCTGCTACTAATGTTTATCATTGTTCAAAATTAGATCCATCTTTTGAAACAAATGTACATCAAAATTCATTGCTTGCTATGAATAGTTATCGTATGATGTCATCGAATCCATCATCATCGATCACAGCCACAATCACCAATACGGCAACACCAGAGACCATTAATCTTAGCTAAAAAGAAAAAAAACGATAATCTTCTTTTTCATTCATTATAATATATGATTCTATAATTTAACGATTATTTTATAATTATAAAATATAATAACCATGATTTTATTCTACTTAAATTAATTTTCAAAAAATAAAATAAAAAAAATAAATAATCACATGCACAGATTTAGTAATTAGATTTCAAATATTTATTACAAGTAAAATTTAAAATTTTCTCAAATAAAACAAAAAAAACAAATAAAATCAACGTAATCAAGCAAATGCTGGCATCTGTTGCATGATGATTAAATTACGAGTAAACTCTGCCGGTATAGCATCATCGATGAAACCATGTTTATAGAGGACAATACCATTACCGAAACGATTTATATATGAAAGATATTGTCTTTCATAATAATCGATATGACAATCGATCGATGCAAACATTGCTTTACATTCGATCCATGTGATCAACATTATTCGTTCATCATTATTGTCGATTGATTCTTGTTTGATTTGATCCATTTTATTGATACGAAATAATCGTACATTGTTGTCATCATCTTTGTTGTTGTTGTTGTTTGATTGTCGTATCAACACTAATGGCAGATTAAGACGAAAATCTGGCGTTACATCATAATTTCGATCACGTAACTGTTGTTCACATAGGAATGAAACTTGATTCTGTTGTAAATAATCACGAATTTCCATCTCAAAGGCCATACCAACATTTAGACTGATTTTTTGTGAGAAAACACCATCCATTAAATCATATAAATTGATTTCCATGATTTCATAAGCTAATCGTCCATTAGCACAATGATTGGGATTCTTTAGCCATAGTTTGGCTGTATCTTTGTTTGGCGATGTTTGATTAACAATATATCGCATCAATGAATAAGCACATACATTGTATTTTTGTGCCAATTCTAGGATAGATAACGTTCGAGTGGTGGCAGTATCATTCCATTCGTGTAGAATCTGTTGCATATTAGCTTTGGTATTTGAATATTTATTCGGATATTCTCGACGAAATTCATAGCTGACCAAACTGTAAATAAGAGAAAAATTTAATGAATATTTATTACAAAGAAAATCAATATTAATCTTCATTTGATTGACGCCATTTTGTTGCGTTAAACTTTTTAAATCCTCGATAATTGAATCGAAAAGATATTTTTTCATCCCGGACAATTGAGAATTTAAATTTTTTTTTTTTTTTACACGAAAAAAACAAAAAGCGACTATTTCGATTAAGTAAAAAATCAGTCAAAATAGATCAAATTGCTCAATTTGAATCAATCATCCAGGTCCAAACATGTGAGTTTGATCCAAAATTTTTTTTCAAATTTTGAATTTAATTTTGTAAATTTTACAGAAAACTGCCCAAAATATAAACCAAAATCGGATGAAGATTAAATATGCAATTAATTCGGGACTAATCTGTATTATTTGAAAACGTTACGTCAAAAAATCAGGTATTATTATTAGTGATGATTATTCTCAACACCATTCTAACGATTATTTGTTTGAAATTTATTCTACTAGTGTGGTGTTCGATAATCAAATTATACTACAAGTGGTATTTAAGCTTCGGGCTTAAATTTTCGATACGATCATTATTTTGCTTTGTTTTTGTATTTTTGAATGTATTTATGCACCTAACCTAACCTAACTCCATCGACCATTAAGCTATTTCTTGCTTACAATAACTTGGTGGCAGAGGTGAAATTCGAATTCACATCCCAAGAGATTCTTTTTTGGTTATAGAAAGAAATCGAAAAAATTGTGATCATCATCATTAATTTAATTCACAAAAAATTAAAAAATTCTGGCTTTACACAGCATGTTTCTTTTTTTTATATGGCTAAAAATGCTGAAAAATTATTGTTCCGATCCGCTAAACCCGGAATCATTTTTATGTAATCAGAATTCAATTCATTTGTAAATGATTCAATGATAAAGTCTAATATCATTCCATCCAATTTTTTTATTTTTTTATTGTAAAAAACTTTTTCGCCTATTTCAATCCGTGTCTTACATTTTCTGTAGATATAGACGAAATTGTTTTGGCGCTTTAAACCAATACAATTTCATTGTTTGATTGTTCAAAGAACTGTGTGTGTGTGTGTTTTTTTTGGTTGCAGTAAAGCTTTCACAATTTTCGATTATATCACACCTAAAAGTGCCTCAATTGTTTAAAGAGAAAAAAAAACAAATTAATACAATCATCAAAATGCCTGACATTATAGATCTGACAATGGAAAATGAACTGAACGATATTTCTATGACAAATCCTGATGATAGTATTAATGTATCGAGCTCTAATGAATCATTTGAGAAGCCTTCAGCTAAAAAACGAATCAAACTTTCACATGAAGATCGTATCAGAATCAAAGCTGAAAAGGAAAAATTACGTGAAGAACGTGAACAATTACGAATGGAAAAAGAAATGGCCAGATTGGAACGAGAAAAAGTTCGTATAGAAAAAGAGAAAATGAAGATGGCTCGAGAAAAACAGATTCTTGAAGAACGAGAAAAGAAACAGAATGAACAACAGATGAAGATGCAAATGAAGGAGAAAATTCGTAAAGAAAAAGAAGAAGAAAAAAATCGTAAAGAAATGGAAAAACAAAAGCGATTGGAAGAGAGACAGTAAGTTTTGTTATAATAATTTAACTAGATTAAACTAACCAATATTATTTTTATCCGAATTAATCAGGGCCATCGTTGAAGAAGAGAATAAAAAAAAAGAAATGGCAAAAAAATTGGAGGAAAAAAGTCGAGCCGTTCTTTTTAATTTTCTCAGAAAATCCAGCTCAGGTGTTAGTGAAAATAATGATCAAAATTCTTCCTTTACGAATCGAATGGCAATGTCAACAGATAATGAAATGGATTGTGGTGGTAGTGGTGGAGAATATTCATTTGTTCCGAAAAATCTAATCAATTCATTTGATTCCGACCAATTTGAACGTTTAATCACCGATCAGAATGAATCTGTCGAACATTTATATCTTGCCTGTTTATTGTCTGGTCAAAAAGTTCCTTATTCCTGTCCAATCATTCAATCATCTTCATCATCGATAAATGTTGATGATGAATTACTTGAACAATATCATCCAGTTAATTATATTTACCTGAAATTTCATGAAAATCTTAAACCACCTTATTTTGGACCTAAAACATTGACTACTGAAATGGATGGTCGACGTCCATTTATTAAATTAGAATCATTGGATTATGAAGTTGATAGTGATGAAGAATGGGATGAAGGTGGACCTGGTGAAAGTTTAAGTAACACTGATTCTGAACAAGAAGAAAAAGATGATTATGAAATTGATAATGATTTTTTTGTACCACATGGTTATCTATCTGATGATGAATTTAATTTGAATTCCGATCTAGCAGCCAATGCTAACAATGAATCACAATCAAGAAATAATAATAGTCCATTAACTAAAGAACAAACATTGCTTAATGAACGAAGTAGACTTGCCGATAAATTAACACCACAAGTGATTGGATGTTTTTGGACATCATCATCACCAACATTGGAACAACAACAACAACAACAGCAGCTATTCGGTATGGATAAATTAAAATTTCTGGAACAATTTAAAATCTGTCTTATACCATCGATTGCTATTAAGCCATAATAATAATGGTAATAAACCTGAATATATTCATCCTTTGTGGTTGTATAATTATCAATCATTTTTGTATCGTTTTTATTATTATTATTAAATTTTTGAAAAACACTGTGTTTGTATGAATAATGTTCAATTGGAATAAAAAATTCATTTTTTATTTTTTAATTTTATAAAAAAAAATCTATCTATTTGCTTTCTGTTATTTTTTTTTTGTCGTATGTGATGGTAATAATTCAATGGCCATCAATATACTCATTAAATACAGGAAATAATCATTCGAATATCATGAACAATTAGAAAAACGAACATCGGAAGTTATTTGTACCAAGTTGTTCATCATTAAAAATGAAACAATTTTTTTTTCTCTGTTCAATAAAAATATCTTGCTCAATTGTTATGCACACAAACACTACCGTGTGTGTGGGTATAGAGTATGCATTGCATTGTGTCACGACAATGGGAATTTTTTTTTTCGTTTGTTCATTCATTCATTGTTTGGATACGATATGATGATAGTAGTTGATCGATTTGGTCTTTGTGTCATCCGTATTTGATTCACGTGTGAGTAATTCTATTCATTCTGATTTTTTTTGTCATTTGAAAGTAAGTTTGATTCGATTCGTGTACGATAATGATCCAAATGGAAAATTGAAGCAATTTTGAAATTGAATGAAGATTTTAATTCCTCCAATTTTTTTTGCTAGCTTGTTATTGCGTGACAATTAAGTATCGGTAATTATTGGAAAATTTGTTTTTCAAACGATATTGTTGTTGTTGTTGTTGTTGATGATGATATTTGAAAACAAACAACAACAACAACAACAACATGATTGTATTGATTACAATCGGTTTTTTCATCTTACATCATCGTTGTTGTTGTTGAACAAAGTCAATTAAAGTTGATTGTGTTATACACAACACACACACACATCCATACACAGGACATATGACAACCGATATTCGGATACAATCATCATTTTGAATGATTCATTTCATTTCTGGATCAAATTTGTAACGCGATCATATGTATCCTGTTATTTTCTCATCTTCTTATTCTGTGGAAAAGTCCAAACAAGCTAGAAAAAAACGAATTCGATTCAGTTTCATCTTCATAGTACGCCCCGATGAACCAAACAATAAAAAAATAGTGGAAACAGGAAACTCAATTTTCTGAGCTCGTATTTTGTTGAGAAGAGAAGAAAAAAAAGAAAAAAAGCCGCTGAAATTGTTGTTGTTTGAATCAATGAATGAATGAAGAATTGTACAATACGATTGCAGAATAAATAGAAAAATGAACTAGAGAAAAAAAACGGAAAAAATGATAAATTCATTTGGCTAAACTTCAATTGTATGTTGTTTTTTTTTTATCTCACCGAATATAAGGAATGAAAGTGAATTTTTTTTCTCTGTTGCACATACTTTGAAATCATATATGATAAAATGAAATTCTATGCACGTATTTTATATGTTTGAGAGAGCATATGTTTTTAGCAATTACATGATCTATGGGTATTAAATTACGGAACAAGAAAAGGAAGAAAAAAAAAGAGAAAAACAAGAATTTATCAGAAATTCTTTTTGTGATTCTTATTCAAAACTATTTCAACATCAATTCGAAAGACACTATATTAACCGAACTATACTCATACCACTTTATTATTAGAGTCATTATTTTATTGATTGATTGATCCACATTTGTTTATTTGTTGTTTTTTTCTGTTCTTCATAAATCCATTATATCCAATAAATCGATTGAATTTTGATAAGTGTTTGATTGATTGAATTTTAATTTTCTATGTATATTTTTGCCGCCTGATTATACAAAACTATCGTTACGATTTTTTTGTTGAAATTATTTTACATATATCAAACAATGTGATCACATGACAATGGGTGACGGTAAAATATTAACAATTCATTCAGGCATATAAATTTGAATGAATTTTGGAACATATGTACCCTCTCTCCTCTCTCTCTCACTGTGATAGATTCGAATCCAATTGATTGATTGGCTTATCAATAGATGAAATGATGGTTGAATGAAGCAATTATCCGAAAAAAAAAATTTGTAACCATATTATTTTTATTTGTTTTTTTAAAGCGACAAAAAAAAGTTGTTTCAAATATCGGAATAATGATGAAAAAACGGAAATCATTCATTCAACCCGTTCGTTATCAACAATTATTTTTATTTTTTCATTCATTCACAACCAAAAACAACAACAACAACAACAACAACATACACACACTTTTTGTCACCCAAATACGATATTCATTGTTTTTTTTTTTTTTTTTTTTGGTTACTGACCGATTTCATACTTTGAAATTGTACCGAAATGATTCACTTTATATATGAATTATGACAATGTTTTTTTATTTACATTCAGAATGATTGAATCAAATCGAGCGAAATGAAATGAGTGTGTTGTGTTGTCACTCATGTGTTTGTTGAAAGTGAAAATCAATTTTGTTGTCCGATACAAATGAATGAAAAATAAGCCCTGCAGGCTATTGAATATATCCAAAATATGTCATATGTTGTGTGTGATGTCATTGAATGTAACAAAAATAAACATTTTATAAATAAAATGTCTCAATACTAACGAAAGTGATAAACTGTCACCCATCAACCCGAATATGACTAAAGACATTTTTATCATTCAATATTTCACAGAAATAATAATTGACTTAGTGTCAAAAATATTTCAACCAACAACAACAACAACAACAACAAAAATTTATCCAATGTAAGTTCCCAAGCATCTTTCTAAATATGATACACACACACACAACATTAACATTTACATTTATTTTCCATTCATTCAATTCATACCTAGAGGCTGTTTTTCAATTTAACACCTGAACGCCTTTTTTTCACACAAACAACAACAACAAAAGTGACATTTTTATCATCATACAAAAATTTGTATCAATTTGTTAATCTATTAACCTAAAAATAGGGTGTTAGGGTGTGTGTGTGTGTATGTGTGAATCATCTGAAAAACAGGCACATCCATTTATTTTCTATAGAAATCTATGAAATGATGAAAAAAAGAAAGAAAGAAAAACGGTGATTGATTTACACTTGCATGGCTTTCAACAACAACAACAACAACTAATTGACTATAGTTAGCTTCTCTATTTTTTTCCAATGTAATATTTGATTGTCTATTTCTGTTTTTATGATGGATTTTGGTAACGAAGAAGAATTTTTTTTTTTTCATGTCTATTCGTGTGTGTGTGTGTGTGTGTTAAAAATTCAATTTTGAATCCTGGTCCATTTTTATTATATAGAAAATTACTGATGAATGATGATGTTGATGACAAGCTAAGTGTTAATGTAAAAAAAACATAATGTTAAATTGAATGGTTGAACAATTCTAATGTCTGTCTGTGTGTGTGTGTGTGTGTGTGCATGTCGATAATCATATTATTCATTCAATTACCACCAATATATATTGGCCCTTTATTTTTTTTCTCGTTCAATTTCATTTTATTAACATCGAACAACAGCAATAATCATCATCTAATCGATTCGATTGAATACTGGAAAGTTTTTCATTTGTTTTTTTGTTGGAAAAATGCAGGCGAATTTTTTCCATTGTGTGTGTGTGTGTGTGTGTGTGTGTTAATGGAATTTGTAATAATGAAAAATGGACTGATTGGGCATAGGCAACAACGACTTTTTGTTTTTTTTTTTTTATTTGATTCAAATAGAATAAATTTGTATTTTTTTTTAATTTAAATTTTATTTACATTTTAAAATTGTCTCTAGAATTTCAATCAATTGATGAAAATGAATTCAAAGTACCAAAAAGAGAGAGAAAAAGAGAGAGAGAAAAGGAAAAATAAAATGAACAGCAATCAAAAAAGAAAGGATTGATAGGAGGAGAGAAAAGGTTTGTATGAAATTGTTTCTAAATTGATCGAATTAATCTTTGCTCAAATTAACCGGTTGTTGGTTCGTAGTGGTCGTTGTAGTAACCAGATCCACAATTTCATCATCATCATCATCATCATCATCATCATATTGATCTTGTTTCACTGATAATGAATTGTCATCACTGATTGATTCATTATCAGGAATAATTGATGATGATTTATCATTATTGATGAGTTCTTCATCTACATCATCATCTGAACCAAAATTTAATGATGGTGATACATTCAAACGATGATTGTGATTCAGATGATGATTGTCCACATTATTTGATGCCAACAGACTTTCAATACTGAATTCCATACGATTTGTGGCTGATCGTTGATGGTTAATCATCATCGATCGTTGTTTATCCATCAATGATGTATAATGATGTTGTTGTTTGACATTTTCATTATGATTATCGAATCCCATCAGACGTTTGTAGATGACATCCATTTCATTTTGTTGTTGATGAAGTTGTGATTGTTGTTGTTGTTGTTGCTGCTGCTGTGATTGATTCATTGCGAATCGATGTGTTAATGTTTGAAAGAAATTTATAGCATGTTGTGTTGCAAGAAATGCGGCCGCATTTGTTGGAACGATATGATTAGGTAATAATGGCTGTGTAGGTGTAACCGTTGGTGGTACAATCGAAGATGGTGGTGGCGGTATTGATGGCGGTGGTAATGTTGGTATTGAATGATGATGATAAGCCAATTGACGATTAACTGCCGCTATTGGCGGTTTACCATTAGCAGCCACCAATGGTACTGGTGATGAAATTGGACTATCATCATCATCATCGTCGTCATCATCATCCGGTACAGAAAGTCCCATATGACGTCGAACTTTTCTCTGTGCTTTACGTCGACGAAAATCACCTTTTTTAAAATCCTCTAGATTCGCTGGATGAATTGCCCAAAAATGACCTTTACCATTGGCACTACGGGTTGATTTAACAAAACAATCATTTAATGATAAATTATGACGAATACTGTTACGCCATCCTGGTCCACGATTACGAAAATATGAATAATTATCCAGAATATATTGATATATATCGGCCAAAACCATTTTCTCATCAGGCATACTTAATATTGCCATTGCAATCAATCCAATATATGATTGTTGTGGTTTATTATCATCATGTGAATATGGATAACGTGAATGATGATGATGATGATGATGGTGGTGAGGATGGTGATCTGAAGATCGATTATAACTACTATTGGTCGTCTTCGATGTTGGTTGTCGATTAATAACTGTTGTCGATGGCTGACCACCACCAATAAATACTTGTGGTGGCGTTGATAAGTTCGTACCATTATTCATTCCATTTGCTACCAATGAATGATGGTTATGATGATGTTGATGAAGATGATGTATTGATTTTGGCAATTGATATTCAGCCAATCGTTCTTTGTTAAAATGTTGTGCTAAAATTGTTGCCGCTGTTGTTGATGATGATGGCTGTACTGCTGGTGTTGTTGGTGTATGATGATTTAAACAGGAATTGGATAGTGCTAGTAAATGATTCATATAAATTAATTGCTGCTGCTGCTGTCTTTGTTGTTGTTGATCAATATCATCAATTGATAATCGATGTATCGATGATAATGATGACGACGTTGATGTTGGTAATGGTGGTGATGATGATGATGATGATGATGAATTATTCTTAATTAAATCCATTTTTTTCAAAAAAAAAAAAAAAAAAAAAATATCTGAGATTGAAAATAAAATGACCCGATTTTTATAATGACAAATGTTGAAATGATGATGATCATCATCAAATCATTTCGGTTCTGTATATGTTCGGTTTACAAAACTTGCAAAAAAAAAATTCATTCATTCACTCATTGTGTATATATAAAAAGTTCCCAATGTGCACACATATATTTCACATACAGATTTGTTTGCATTCAGTTTTTGTTTGGATGTATATAAAAAAAACCACAACAACAAATACACACACACACACACACAGCCAAACAACAACAACAACAACAACAACAATAACAACAACAACAACAACAACAACTATAGCCACATAGAGAAAAAGGCAGACCTTATTTTTTTTCCTATCTATGTATGTGTTTGTTGTGTGTGTTTAAAAACATACACAACAACAACAACAACAACAAATTTGCAACAAACTTCATACAAATATTTTTATTTTCTGCCTCAAGCAAGTAAGCAAGCATTGTATGTGTGTATTATGTAAAAATATCCGAATATAAAGGTGGAGCCTAAAAAAAGGTTAGAATCTTTATGTTTGTATTCTTGTAATGTAGTGAAAAACCATTTTGAACAATTGTTATGATGTTTAATTAACACAAATGGAGAAAAAATCAAATATTGTGAATTCCGTTGCCTTCAATTGATGATTGTGTGTGTGTGTGTTTTTTTTCGCTGATCGTTGACATAACAACAGCAGCAGCAGCAATATCCTTATTTCATTTTGGATATTTTTTTTCATACCCGATGATCATTTATCGTGTTCATTGAGAGCGCATGTTTTTTTTTTTTTTTTTTTTTTACTTGCTTAATATCTGACCACACCATCAATAGCTATCCTATAGCTATTAGTTTGTTAAAGCTAAAAAGGTGTGTCTTGTACTAGATTTTCTCCTCCCATTTTTTTTTTATATTTGCACTATTTATATTTGTTTGTTAGTTATTCATTCATTGTTGTTGTTGTTGTTGTTGTTTTTTTCCAACAAAACGGATGTGATTATCAAGCCAAACCAGAAACATACAGAAGCATCACAATTTTTGGAAATTTTATTTTTATTTTTTTCATTGCTTCTGGCTTTGTTGTTATTATTCAATTTATTTCAGGTTTGATGTTGTTTCTCTATCTCTATATGTATGTATAGAACACTGAATTCGGTACGAAAAAAACTACGTTTTTTTCTCATTTTCAGACACAAACCTAAACGAACAATACAACATCATATTAATGGGAAGCCATTTTTTTTGTTGTTTTCTTCATCCTCATCATACAATAATTGTTGTTTTGTTATCATGTTGTGAATGAACAATAAAATGTATATATGGATGTTGTTGTTTTTTGTTGTTTAACACCAACCATGGCAAATACAATTTGACCATTTTATACATTGACCTTTTTATTGTTGTTTGAAAATTGTACATTTTGATAATAATAAAAAAAAACTGTGGACCGGAACTATTTTATTTTTCGACTATTTGAATCAGAGAAAAAACACAACATAGGACAAGATAGAAAACCTGGACCTCTCTCTCTCTCTCTCTCTCATTCTCATTGATTATGAACTTTGATTGATTTGATTGATAAATAAAAAAAAAGAGTTGATCATTTTTTTTCTGAGTTTCTGACTCTTTTTTTTCACTACCAAATCATTTATTCTGTATTTTTTTTTTTTTTTTTTTTGGATTTTCGTGTTGTCATTTCATGAATGGAGACAGAACATTTTTTTTTCATTCAATAATAAAAATGATCATCATCATTTGACCGAGACGTAGACAATTTGACTGACTGAATGATTGTGACAGCAGACACATTTGTTTTTGATCACAAATGATGATTGTTTTGTAAAAAGAAAAAATCTTTTTTTTTTCTTAATCACTGACTTAACACACACACACACACACACACAGTGGTCAATCACAGTTGTTAGTTGAATCAATTTAACACTTTTTTTTCTACTGCTGCTTCTGTATATCTGTTGATAATGATGGCACCAAACAAAAACATTATTGTAATAATCTATTGTCCATTTGTTGTTGTTGTAGCCATTGTCCATTAACTGTTGTATGTATGTGTGTCGATTTAGTTGCTCTTTTGTTGTTGTTGTTGTTGTTATTATTGTTGTTAATTTTATTGTCATTTATGTACAGCAACAACAACAACAACAACAACAACAACAAATTAAATCCAGACATTTTGTGAAAATGTACAAATATTCATTCACGCGAACAGAACTGACAATATTCAATGTAGTGAACAAAATAGAAAGAGAATTAAGATCAGATCAGACAAATTGTCACCAAAAAACATTGAAAACAAATTTGTGACAATAACATGCAAACAAAAACAACAACAACAAAAAAGGATTTTTGTATGTAATGAATGGGTTTTTTTTCTGGAACAGACATTACATTAATTAAAGATTGACAATAATAATAACTACAACAACAACAACAACAAAACGACAGCCATAATTTGTTTCATTCATTTTTATCAGTTTATTATTCATCTGATGATGATGATGATGATGATCATGACCCTATAGGTGTGATAAATGTTTCCATGATGATCATCATCATTGTGGAAACATTTACGAACAGATCAGACCATTAACAGTTTTTTGCATTTTCAAAACGATTTTTTTCCTTTACCCTGCCAAAATATATGATATAAGTGGTGGTGATAGTGGATATTTTTAATCTTGATTCATAATTTATTTGTTCCACGTTCTGTGTTTATTTATTTATTTATTTATTCATGATTCACACCTTGATGAGTGGTGTTGGTGGTGGTGGTTCATCCACTTATTTGTTCATTTTTTCTCGTTTGATTCAAATCAAAATCAACAATCATTATTAATACATTAAAATGGTTGAAACAGAAATCATATTTAGGTGTGAATATTATTCATTTATCTAGAGAGAAAAAAAAAGTGTAACATTCAGGTAGATTGAGTGGTGTTGAATAAAATGGTTGGACCACACCATGAGTTATGGTTTGATGGAAATTTTTTTTTTTTTTTGTTTACATTTTTTGAACCAATTTTTTCTTTCTATTGAAGTGTTCAAGAACCATTATTATTGTGATGATGATGATGATCTTGATCTTGATGGACAACACACCCCGACACCACCATAACTACCATCACCACTAAATGAGCCAATCAATTGTTATTTTTCCGGAGTAGTAAATCCAAACCACCGCAATCATCATCGTCATCATTATCTCGATAATGTAAACAACATTTGAATCTCGTCTAAGCCTTTTTTCATTCACACACACACACACACAAATATTCTTGGTTGTTGTTGTTTACCATTATTTCATTTCATTTCATTCATTCAAATCAAATCCAATCCAAATTCACGAATGAAAACTTCATTCATAGTTTTTTTTGATTGTGAAAATTTTTTTTTTTTTGCAATTTTATTCAAGTGATTATTAAAGTTTTTTTTGTGGGTAACCATAAAAATGCGTGCGTGTGTGTGTGTGTGTGACACAATAGTAGACCTCAAATCCTCAAATCCTCATATTATTGTTATATATGACTGTTGTTATTGTTGTTGTTGTGTAAATAAACAAATCTAAAGGATTTATATCCCACACGCACACACACACACAATGGATCAATCAATAATATTTATATATTCATTAGTCTAGCCATTTTGGAACCATTAAAGATGATTTTTTTTTCTTCTTCTTTTCGTTGATTATTTGTCGACGACGACGACGACCAGATAGAATTTTCCATTCGTTTGTGATCCAAATAAATATTAAATAAGAAGAGGATCAAATCATTTTGCTATTATTATTATAGTTGGACTGAATGTTCAAAAACTTTTTGCTTGTCTGCTGTATTTTTAATCAGATTTACATTTGACCGATTATAATATTAAAAGATTTAGGGACAGCTGACTGTGATTGTGATGATATAATCTTAAATCAGAAAAATTCATTCATATCGTGCATATGTAGATTGTTGTTGTTGTTGTTGCCATTTCACTTGGTACAGAGTTGAATGATTTAGACTGAATTTATTTATTTTCCCTTAAATAATAAACACATCATTATGACGATATTGGTTTTGAACAAAACAAAACAAAACAAAAAAAAATGCGAGAAAAATTGCTTTCAAGTGTCCATAATAATGTATGTATGTCCATTATATTGTGATGGCCATCAAAAAAAAAAAAAAAAAAAAATTGTAAAAATGTTTTCATCTAAAATATGTCTTAACTTAAAGAAAAAGGGGCAGCAGTGGCGGGCTGCCAGTCAATTTTAAGGTTATATAGCCTCACTATTCATCATCATCATCATCATCATCAACACTAACCTTTAGATTCTTGATCAAAAACAACAACAACAAATGTATGTGTCGAGTGTGTCTTAGCAATAGTGATCATCATCATCATCATTCATAGGTTCAAGTGTTAAT